GGGGGGGGGGGGGGGGGGGGGGATAAGTCTACTAAATAAATAAATAATAAATAATCTGTAAGTGTCTGTAAACATGCAGAGCCAATTTGGTATAGTGGTTAAGGTGTCAGACTGGAAACCGAGGGATGGTGAGTTCTAGTCCTGCCTTGGGCACAAAGCCAGCTGAGTGACCTTGGGCCAGTCCCTCTCCCTCAGTCCTAGGAAGAAAGAGTGGTCAAGTCACTTCTGAAAAATGCTCCCAAGAAAAGTGCAGGGGACAACTGCAAGCATTTATGTGACATACTATTATACATTCTAGTTTTTTATACTTTAAGAAATACGTAAATATTTTAATATGCTGCTATTACATGTATTTGCAATTTACTCATATTGTGGTGCACAAATTTGTACTTGGTTTTGGAAAAGCTGCACAAAACAATTTTTTTCTGCACATGGGATGTAAGAAATTAGAGGGAACATTTCAGGGAAGTATAATTGGGTTAGTTGGCCAAATATATTGGAACAAATGGGATCTAAAACTCTGTCTAGGTGGTTCCTAGAGTGACTTTATTTTGTATTCTTTACTGCCACAGTAGAAAGGTAGATCCATAGCAAAATTCTGAGTAACTTGTTCAGGGTAAGTATTCATAAACTGTGAAAAAAAACCTAACAAAACACTTATTTTTCTCTATAAGCAAGTTTTTCAATAGTTACCTGAAAAATTGCAGTAATTTTAATTTAACTGCAGTTAGCCCTAATTATTTCCCACTTAATAAGCAAGGAAGTCACTTCAAACATTTTTCATGAAGTATGGCATGTGCTAGGATGGGGAAATCAACATAAGGAAACAAAATAGAAGTCCCATTGCTGAAGTAGTATTATTTTTCCTTTGTGTAACATCAACATTTGCTTTTCTCTGTGGCAATGGGCTTCAGGAGTTTACTTTAGGAAGTCATTAGCACATTGAGGGGAAATTCTGCTCATGGCATGAAAAGAATTATAAATAATAAATCTAATGCCAAACTGGTAAAATTCAGAGTTGATTTTGATGTAAAAGGAATTGTGGAAGATCATGGAAGATACTCTGCTGATAAGGCTGCTACATACAAAATTCTCATCTACACAATGCTTGTGGGCTTTGTTTATTAATTCTGAACATTTTGCTGGACTTGGAACTGTATGACTAGCAAAACTGTATTTGCTCATGAGAAGAAAGTAATATGCAATAAAACTGGTTCAGATTTTTTTCCTAGTAATAAAGTATACCTATTATCTCCTTTTAAAAATACAATTATTGCATCACTCAGTTGACAACCTCAAAACAAGTGAGATAGACTTTTATGAGAAACAAGGGGCAGGGGACATGGAGATAACTTGGTGATTTTGAAAGATTTATGGGTAGGCAAATATTTATAGAATATCTTCTGAATGTGTGTACTACTAGCTATGTAATTTTCATCAATATTATATATGATATATTGGCTATAATAAATTATATCTAAAATAAAATGTAGCCTTTTTTCTTAAACAGCACATTTCTCAAATTCTTCAGGAGGGGGAATTAGGTCTTTGGGAGAAGAAAAATTTACTCAGAAGCTCAATGATGAGCCCTCAATAATCTTGATCAAAAGAAGCAGTAGGAAAATAGGGGTGGCGAGAAGCCCTGGCACTAGATGAAATACTAGCACTGGCACATTCTTCAGAGAACAGTTAGGATCAAAATGATACCGAAACATAAATAAAGGTCACATGTCTATCAAGCCAGAAAAATAGCTTAAAAGTTCAAAATGCTTAGTGAGTCAGGGAAGGCAGAATGAAGGACCATTTCCTAGTTTGTTCATGTAAAACAGAGTTTTGCTTCAGTTTGTAAACAGTAAGAAGATAACATGGATAACTGAGGTACATGAAAAAAAGTGAATGTGCAAAAAAATTAAACTCAGCTACTGAGTTTAATTCAAGCAATTGCCCATTTCTCATTACTATTCTATTTCAAGGAGATGGAACATGTAGTATAAAGTGATGGAACATACTTAGTCCTAAATAGGCTGCTAGAAGTCAGTGCAAGAAAAAAGCGGGGGCAGAGGGAAAAAAAACCAAAATTGCCTTAAGTTTAATTTAATTAAATGCAATTAGTATGACTATTCCTATGTATTTAATAATTTTGTATTCTATTTCATTGAAGCTACAATTTGGTAACAATTTTAGAGCTGTCTGAAAGTTGGACTCAAGACTCTGGATGGTTGCAAGAGGCCTTAAGTTCTCAAACTATCCACTCCTGGTTTAAACAGATTCTCCTTATCACAGAGTGGAATTAATTAACCCGACTCTGCTATGTTTATTTGAATTTAGTACATTCGCTGCTATATATTCCATACAAAGCAGAGCAAGTGCTGAGATACTGCATTTAGACAAGCAATATGAACTGGCTATGCTCCTATAATTATGGTTCTTTGAGTCATGATCCGCGAATTCATACCTATGGGATCTGCACTGTACAATAGCTCAGATCAGAATGTTCCAGAGCTTCAGACTTTCAGGCAGGAGCCTTGCTCATTCTGTAACATGGCATATGAAAAGTCAGGGTTCTTTCCACCTGCCACAGCAGATCAAAATGGAGGTACTATCCTTGAATTCAAGCAGCCAAGATGAGCAGTGGAGGACTGCATTCCGAGATCACCCATCAATCACATGAAAGTAACCAGCTGTTCTTCATTGCAATTTCTGTGAGTCACATAAGGATGATTAACCATATCTGTTACCTGAAAGCAGGTAGCCTTGGAGAATATGAGAATGTACTGCTCTCCAAAGGCAGCATCTTCTGCCAATCAAAATCTCCGGCAATAATGCCTGATAAAATTTGAGGTCTGCAACCAAGGTGGCAGCCTAGCAAATGCCTGGAAGAAGCACATCCTTAAAAAATGCTGCCGATACAACTGCTGCTGAATGGAATGCTCTGAAAGCTGAAAGAGTTTTGCCAAATCACAGACACTGTTACCTAACTGAAGAATCACCGCAATGAGACGGGAAAGTTCTATTTCTGTCTAGCATATACAATAAAGAAGTGTGGATCTCAGAAAAAAGACGCAGAACACAATCACTCTTTTGATGCCAAGGACATTTAGATGTATCATGACAGAAAGTGGGAAGGACCAGTTCATATGGAATTACAGAGCACTCTGGGGAAAAACAAAACTACTTTTTCCCCCAAAACGGTACTGATTATTAGCAAAAGAACTGAAAACTCACTCACTAACATTGATTGTTACCAAAAATGCTGCTCTCTTCCAAGGTAGAAGATGTACGCATAGCTGCTAGTGGTTCATAAAATGCTACAGGCAGCAGAGAGAGAATAAACAAGAAGTTCCAACTTGAAACAACTGGTGGGCACATATGGAAACAATTCTGAAGGCTTTTCAAAAACTGATAACAGTTGGGTGCAAAAGAGAGAGAGAGAGATGTTGATAGAACTGTGAAAAAAAGCAGCTGCTGAAAGGTAACACTTTGAAGACAAGAAGGAAAGCTCTTTCTCCCTCAATTTTAACAAGACCCTGAGGAAGTTCAATGAAGAGGAAGGATGTAACGAGCAATATAAAGGATGTAAAATGTTGCAGCCTAGGCTTTTTGTGCTGGGGATTTGGAAGTAACATGTGGTTACTAAAGAGGAAAGGGTCAGATATAAACACCAGATGATAAATCTGAGAATGAGTAAATATGGATGGAAAACTAAAATAGGAGGTTCAGCCTGGCCAAAGATGAAAGAAAAAATCATGGTACCAAGAGATCACTGCTAGGAACAATCAGTGCAATTTTCATCATGGCAATTAATCTTGGAAATGACCCTGGAGGTCAGCAGCTGCAGAGGCAAAAGGTACATAAATATGTACTTTTGCAGAATTGGAAAGTATCTCCCAATGAGTTGGCACCAAGGCCACTTTTGGTCTAATATTGGAAACATGAAGTGTTTTAGTAAAGATACGTAATTGTTGGATGAGGTAGTATACAAATTACTGCATAAATAAATAAAGTCCCACCATTAACAGTTGAGGTAAGTTAAGTCTTCACAAAGTAAAAATGAGTAATAGAATGCATTTGCAAAATACTGTTCTCACCAAATGAACAGACAACAGCGAACACACCAAACCCACAGTTCTGTAAGAAGGCTGAATAGTGGCACTAATTTTGTGCCATCCAATTTATGAATTATGATAGCACTGTTAAATTGTCCATGAGGACCTTGACCTGCAATAACTGTATGAAGGCACACAGCACCTTGAATGCTGCTGAGAATTCTAGCTGGTTGCTATGAAGATGGTGGACCACGGGCTAACAAAGTTCCTATATCTACCTGCCTTAACAATGGGATCCTGACCCTATATTGCATGCTTCTGCAGTCAATGTAATAGACAACGTGGGGCCAAAAAAGGCCAAGATAGCAACGGTATAACTAGGCCTTGAAAATAGGACTACTTTAATGACTAATGCCACATTGCCAAGAAGATGTAGCATGAGCCTTGCATTCTAACCTAGTGGATAAGTGATAATGTTACATGAACATGTTCCAGAATATCTAGAAGGCAACATTATTGGCCAGTTATCTAAATATAGGTATACTATAATTTCTTGCAAATACAAATGAATACCCATGACTTCTAGAAAGTTTGTAAATAGTCTGGTGCCATAGGAAGGCTCAGTGGGATGATACAGACTTACCCAGTCAGAAGCAAAGATGCTACCTATTATCAAGCAGAGTGGAAAAAAAGAGAGTAAGGTTTGATAAATCCCACCAATGCAGACCAGTGAGATAATCTGATTAGAAACTGACATATCTCAGAGATCCAAAATAATCTGGAACCCACTGCGGTTCTTGGGGACACTGAAGTCTCTATGATATAACCTAGGCATTTTTAACATAAGAGCAAGTGCTTGAGAGTCCCTAAGAGAGAAGGGTTCTTACATGCTCACAAGAGAAGGATACTGGATCTGATAACATGATAACAGCAAATAGTTGGAAATGAACTCTACACAAAAAACTACTATTCAAAGAACCCAAATGCCTGTTGTAAAGATATCCTACACATTGAGATAGAAACTGAAACAGTCCTGGAACTGAATCTTCTGGAACAGAACGGTCATTTGGATTCTTGGGATGACTGGTAATGGGGTCTGGATCATGCAGTTGTGAAAATAATAATTTAACAGGATGCAATGGAAAAGATGGGATAGAACTTCTTCCTGCTGTAGGAAGCTGTTGCTAGCTCTGTTAGCAACTCTGTTGCTATACAAGGCCAATACATTTGGCTGCTGAGTGTAACTTTTGCAAATTAATCTTCAGTATCATTTGTTTTAGAGCTCACTGAAATAACAAATCTTCCATTCTAGGCTGTGATGTGCCATCTTTAAGCTGATGGATTTATTTATGATAAGCACAGGCTCCTGCTGAGTATTCTGCATACAGTCTGCGTAAAATCTATTTTCCATTTGATATCCAGAAGCAAGCTAAAAAAGGGCAAGGTATTTTCCCTTAATCAAGCAGGCCTGATATGATGGAATTTGGAGATGAGCGATGGAATAAAAAGAATCAAACTCCGTCCTATACTCAGCAAGGAATCTCTGTTTGATTCAAGGAAGTAACATTGACAAGGGCTTGGACCATGAAATCTTAGTCATTTTCACTAATGTAAGAAACCCTGGGATTTGAACTGACACTTCCGCTGAACCTTGTACCAGCTTGATCTTCCGACAGAACAAGGGGACTATTTGGATTCTCTGACCAAATATCCTCTGAAGTTGGATGCTGGTTTGATCTAAACTCTTACTTTCTGAACAGTCACTACCAAAATGTGCTTGCAAACTTATTCAGAATGTGTTTGCCTTTGAAATCTTTCTTGTCATAGTCTTTTTGATATAATATTTTATTAATTTCATAAGCAAATATTTTCTAATAAAAAATCCAGAGAGCCAACACTTCCCCCTTCATTTGTATATAAATCAGAGTAACAATGGAATACTCAGTGTTTAAATAAATAATGTATTTCAAGTGTAGGCAATACATATTACATATATTTGTCACAGTGCAGTTATACATAAAATGAATCATTATGACACTGCTGGGACATTAAGTTTTAGAAGCATACAAATGATTTCAAATTTGAAATATTTTGGGTTTGAAGCAAATTGTTCCGACACCGTTCTGACATTCCAGAAGTGTTCCAACCTTGATATGGACCAGCTGTTTCAAACTCAAAGCAGGTGTGTTGAACTTGAATCCTTTCACATTCCAAATGTTCTTCACACCACTATTAGGTTCTTTAAGTTTACATTTTTGTTCATTTTATTACACCCACTCACTATTATTAACTATTTGTATTTTATTATACTGCTTACCCACCCAGGATCTTCCAAGATGTTTTGATGCATGAGGCAAAGTACAAGGAAGCATAACTCCAACATTCTTGAAAAGAGGGCTATACAGATAGCTATTTTCTACAGCAACTTGGAAACCTGTTGTACTGTTTGTTGGTTGAGGCTGTTAGCTCATTATGCCTAATGAGAGGCCTGACCTAATACAACCACATCCACTCATTTTTCTTCTATAGTATATCAAAATTTACAGGAATTCGTTGTTACGTTGTTGGACTAGAACAGAAAGACACTCGGGTTCAAGTCCATCTTTAGCAATGAAAACTTCATGGGTAGGCCATCACTATCTTTCAGGCTTGTGATATGGAGGAAAAAGGGGATTTAAATGCAATGAAAGAATAAATAAATTCAATCCTAAAGCACCCCCAAAAAGTTTAATCTTGCTATTCTGTTCTAATGAAAGACATCAAAATAACTCACCAGGTCACTCCTCGATGCATCCTGATAGTCTAATGAGAAACAAGATGTTAGACTTCTTGTAGAGTTGCCTTCACTGGCTTGTTTGGGATGTTGTGCATATTGTCTGTATGTAGCACTCTTGGGAGTCCAGCAGAAAAGGTTGATTGATTCACGGACACACCGTTCAATATCAATTTCTGGAAAAGGGACACCAAGGGAAAAAAAACAAAACAGAAAAGAAATGAGTATTTGAGCAAGTGGAACAAAAAACTGCAGTTGAGAAAAAAAAATTTTTTTTTAAAAGAACATATACTATTCTACAATAAATTCATTTTGATTTTAACATACCTATGTAAATATGATAAAAGAAACAAGAAACATTTGTCCTCTACTGACATGCAACCAAAAGAAAATAACTGACAATTACATACCATACCAAATTTATGACACAAATTCAGATGAAGCATAGGCTTTAAACTACAACATGTAATTACAGTTTGTGGGCATTCTGCAAATGTAATTATGGTAAAATGTGGCAAAATCCAGTATAAACAGTTTATTTTCTAAAACCTGGAGAACTAAGGAATTGACAAAGCAATTGAAGCATGCTATAAAGCAAAGCCTCTGAATTTGCAATCAATGTGGCTTTCCCTGTTTGACAAAGTTGTATAATAAGAATTGGAAAACAAGAAGGAATCTGTAAACAATATGATGCAATTAGTAACAAACACTTGATGTTTTTATAATCTTAGTAAGACCCTAAGGTCTTACTAAGACCCTAAGGTCTTAGGCCAAAAACTATCAATATAAAAGTAAGCACTGCAGAGTGGTTAATTGCTGAATATGGATGGTTAAAATAATCTCTTACCAAAATTGCAAAAATATTTATTTGTACTGTTAAACCATGTTTATGTATGTTAATGTTTACTTTTAATCATGGCCATTTTTTCCTTCTATTTTGGGGTAATGTCCTGTCATTTCTAATAACAAATAATCACAATTATCTGCCCCATGAGTTTGAACTCAGGATAAAGACATATAAGGAAAACATGCTACCTTCAAATTCTGGGATTGGGAAGAAGATAGGATAAAAAAAGTTTAATAAAAATTTTAAAAATAAACTTTCAATACAATTCAAATTCCTCCTCTTCCACCAAATTCATAATTCACAGCAGTCTAGCCTGGAAATCATCTATAGGTTATTCATAAAAATTATGAAAGTCTGGTTAATAAACTTATTTGCTGAAGAAATCTTTAGTGATCTAAAATAAAAATACCTACAGTACTGTGTTTCCTAAAAACAACACCTGTACTTCACAAAATAAATACAGTAATTCATCTTTCTCATTTGATAAACTTCTCATACGTTAGTACAAAGTTATCAGAGATACAAGAAACTTGAAACTGCACATGACAACCCATAGTGATATATTAATTTATTAGAGGCTTTTCAAAGACAGTTGGTAACACAAGACTGAATTTTGAGAGATCCCATAATTTCCAACAGCTATTTAAACCTTTTCTATTTCACTGTGATGGCACAGCACCTAAAACACTAGGTTACGGTGACACAGAAGTGATAACAAAAGGTATTTTTTGAGGAAAAACAAATGTTTCAGCACCTGTCTGCAAAGACTGATCACAGGAAGAAAGAGAGAACTGAAGAATGAGAAAATGTTGTATGGATAGCATGGGAAAAAATGAAGCATGCAGTCTCACACACTTTTGCAATTCTTTTAATCCACTTCAAAACCTGCTCCTTTGGAATGAATTGGCACGCAAGGGGAAATTTAGGAATGATCAGTGCTTTGTCAGTCTCAGAACTGGCTTTAAAAACTGGGCTGAACTCTCAGCCTCAAGCATCCTATTTCCTAGGTTAGGTCACTAGCTGCAGGACACAAACAAACTAGTGCTTCAGAATTAAAAAAAAAAAAAGGAACATTTTGAGGGGTCACATACATGACCTGCAGAAATTCTTCCCTTACTTAGCCTTGCCTATGAATACTCATTGGTTTGGGGTACACAATTCATCATGTAGCTGATTTTAAGCTGTGATCTGTATAGAGATCCCATCATGTGTTCTATTATAAGTCCAAAACTGCTTTTCCAGTTTTGCAATTACCAGTGGTTATACCTGTTTCTTTGGATATGTTACAAAGAAAAAACTAGTTCATAAAGCACTCTTCCCTTTGAAAATGATTGTTATGGTCTTCTCTGAATCAGAAGCTGAAGAGGCACGCCAGACAGTCTGAGGAGCCAGCAGGCAACCAGCCACCAGAGCAGATCTGGGAGGCAATGAGTCTGAGCAGGAGGGGCTGACTAAGATGATGAGGAGCCAGATTCTGGCAGGGTGCCTACTCAAAGAACACACTGGCAGCTACAAGATGACATCATGTTTTCTTGGGAGGAGACGGCAGCAACACCTCTAATCCAGTCTACTGGACTGGACTGGATGCTTTAGGAATAAGCGAGCTTAGGTGGATCAGAGTGGGCCACTACTAATCAGATGATCTATATGAAATACAGTTCAAGGGATACACAATGTGAAGGGATAAAGAGGCAATGATAATCTGTGTGTGTGTGTGCGCGCACATGCGCGCGCACACATGTGCCTTCGAGTCAGTTTTTGACTCCTGGTGACTGCCTGGACTAGTCCCTGAAGTTTTCTTCACAAGGTTTTTTGGAAATGGTTTGCCTTTGCCTGCTTCCTAGGGCTGAGAGAGTATAACTAGCCTAAGGTCACCGAGATGGCTCTGTGCCTAAGGCAGGACTAGAACTCACAGTCTTCCAATTTCTAGCCTGGTGTCTTAACCACTACACCAAACTGGCTCAATGATACTCCTCTATGGATATAACCCAACAAACCACAGGAATAT